ATCTCCTTTCTTCCACATTAGGTGAATATCTAGTTAGTGTTTTTTCATGGTTTTGTTTAAAGGCAAAGCATATCCAATAGTAGTAGCCAAAGTGTTAGCATCTAAATGAGTGTTAGGGGAGCTCACCTCGGGAATATTCTCGGTATGAGCTAATACTTTAAGTATTGTAGCAAATGGGGTGTAATTGGCTTTGTATTTATAGATTGTTCACCAATAGGTTTATTTTTCCTATTTTTAGTTTCAATTCTTATCACTTTAACACCTCTAAACTCGTCTCCTAGAGCACTTTTTGAATCCACACCTAGAGCTCTTGACTCAATCGTTGGCGCTATCAACCAACTTGACCAATTTGCTCTTCATCCATATGCTCCTCTCGAAGGGCTGAATTATGCAGTGGGTTTTGAAAGAATGGCTCAAACTCAAGGAATGTCACATCCATGGTAATATAGGTGTAGTTGGTTGTAGGATTAAAGCATCTATACCCCTTTTTATATAATCCATACCCTAAAAACAAGCATCGAACTACACATGGATCCAGCTTAGTATGTTGGTTTTTGTAGAGATGGAAAATGCAACACGACCAAAAATCCAAAGAGGGTGCATAAGAACTATGGATGGAGAAATATGGGTAGACAAGACCTACTTAGGGAGTCTTGAAATTTAAGACTTTGGATGACATCCTATTGAGCGAGTATATGGCAACACAATTGCATCACTCCAAAAATGACTAGGTACATGTGTCCCAAAAAGTAAGGCTAGCTTGTACAGTCTCCAAAATATACTAGTTTTTTCTCTTGATGATGCCATTTTGTAAGGGGGTCCGAGAGTATAATGTTTCATGAAAAAGACCTTGTTGTTGGAAATAAGCTTGAAACTAGTGATTGATAAACTCCCCACCATTATCTAATCGTAGAACTTGTATTTTTCCTAAAAATTAGGTTTGTATCATGGTATGAAATGTTTGAAAGATAAAAAACACTTCATCTTTAGTCTTTATTTGGTATAGCTACATCATGCATGCATGTATAGTCATCAATGAAGATCACAAACCAACGAGTAACCGGAGGAAGTAGTAACTAGGGAGGGTCCTAAACATCGGAATGTATTAAGGAGAAAGGAACAATACTTTTATTCAAGCTTGTCGAATATGAAACTCTATGGCTCTTAGCCATAATACATGTATCACATTTAAATATGGAAAGAGATGTTGCAAATAACCAAATGATGGATGCCCCAATCAATGATGCCAAAGCCATATCTTTCTTTCTTTACTAGTAGTGTGAAGTTGCATATAATTTGTTCTTTCTAGATCGAAGTCATCCGGGTAATATAGCCCCCTCTCTTAGTACCATGAACAATGATCTCTTTGCTCGAGAATATCCCGAATAAGAAAAAATGTAAGATACATTAATACCATATAATTAAGTTCTTCAATAGCTTGACTCATAAACATTAGTTTGTTTGATAAAGATGGAACTAAGAGACTATGAGATAAGGACGAGAGAGGGTGACATGATAATAGTTCCAGCCCTAGTGACTAGCTATGCAACTCGATTAGCATTAGAAATGTAGGCTCTTTATGGCGATATCATCTAGGAGAAGTCACTAGAGTCAAAGGTCATGTGGTCCGTAGCCACTAGAGTCAATAATCTAGCTATCATCATTGGGAGCTCTAGAGGTACATAGAACTTGTCCATAGCTATCTCTAACATTGTCTATGGAATGATTTATTTGAGGAATGAGAGATAATTGAGGCTTAGTAGTAGTGACTACAGCAGCTCGGCCCATCCCTAATGGAGGACATCTTGGAGTAACTCTTGTAGTATCCTCGCTTCTTTCGAGCTTGTAACTCATGCCACTAGTCCGGATACCCATGTAATTTGAAGCAAGTATCTTGGGTATGCTTTGTATTGCCATAGTGAGTACACTTTCCCCCATCGATTGGCCTTTAAATTTAGTTGTTGGCCCTACCTTCATCAATTGTGGTTGTTTAACCCTTTTAGTGGCCATAACAACACCACTAGAGGTATTCTCTAACCTAGATGCCATCACGGCTTGGCGAGTGTTATCCTTTCGGACATATGCATAGGCTTGCTCAACGAGTAGGAAAAGGGCTTTCACCGAAGAACATCACTTCTAATATTGTCAAGTCTCGTCATCTAATACATCTAAAAAACCATAAACTCTTTCCTGCTATAAAAGAGAGTTATATTTTTGTATATCTTATGCACATTCTATTGGATTAGGGTGGCGAAAATCATCATGCCACAATCCTTGTAAATCATTGTAGAACTTCTCGATGGATCTACCCCTTGCCGAATTCAAGTTACACATCGTCGAAGGTCATATACTTGTGATGAGTCGGGACCATCAAAGTATGTTGTAGAAATAGAATCCCAAAGCTGTTTGGTTGTCGAGAATCGGATGATGTTCCCAACCAAGGGGGATTCCAATGAGTTTATCAACCATCCTTTCACAATGGCATTCTCAGTCTGTCATTTTTGAAAAGACGGATCTGTTTTTGGTGGCTATGGGAAATCCCCATTGATGTATCCTAGCTTGTCTTTGCTTGAGATCTCAACCACTTGGGACCACAATGCATAGTTAGAGCCATCTAACTTGATGCTTATTGGTATTGTCGTCGAATCAGTGAAAGGTGAAGAGGTTTGGGCCCGCATCATGACTTCTACTATCTTGGTTGTCAAATTGTCAAAGTATGGATTCGGTAGAGGTATTTGGTGGTTGTGTCAGCATTGGTGGGTCTTCCATGGATTTTGAATCTGAGTTCTCTTTCTAGGTCAGTTTACAGGAACCCAAAATCTTGCTTTGGTACCATCTCAAACCACAAGTTCTTTTCATCTTTTGTCCGTATGGTTTCTTTCCAATATATGCAGATACAATGAGAGATTTTAGGAGAGGATATACAATGTTTACTAAACTTACGGTTATCCCTTGATTCAAGGGATCTGTACAGTTGTAATTCCTATGATCATGTAATTCTAGCTAACTACTCACACCAAAAAATTTGACATCTCAACTTGTCTAATGAAGTACATTCAACCTGGCTGGACAAGGAGGGAAAACTATCCCACGATCAACTCGATCTGCTACACCTCCTTCATTGAAGATTATAGGTAGATTGTTGAGATGATGTGTGTTTGAATTATCAAATTAGTGGTTCCATTTTAATTTTTGAAAAGCTCTTCTTTTGTGTGTCATTAGTCAGCCGATGAAATCAAACAGTCTGATTTTTTAAAATAGACCTAAGGATAGACGTAATCCCACGTCGGTTCACGTGAATACTAGTATGGTAACACCTAGCTAAGTCTAATATATATATATATATAGATGTAACTGCTAAGGGTAGCTGGTAATAGAAGTCAGCAAGTAGTAAAGTGTGAGCAAAATAAACCTATCTGGAATCGAGGTGAAAGCAAAATCAATGTAGACTGCATGAAGCTTTCGTAGTCACGAATTGGCAATGGGCATATATTCATGCAGTTCTTGACTTCTTTCCCTAACGAGATCACGTGGGAGATAGACACTGACTAGCAGCTAGGGGGCATTAGAAGGGCTAAAGCAAACAAGTGGATTTATGATAGGTATTTGACTATTAATTAGCATCAGAAAAAACATACAGCTGCTTCGTTGTGTTTTGACTTCCAGAACCACGCATAGCTATTAGCTTATCAGCTGGGGATACCCTCTACCACCTCACAATCAACTCTTATATCCTTCTATCTATGTCAAGTAGCCAACGACGTGCTTGTAAGCAGATGAATTTCGTGTGTTTTGTGAACAAACACATGCTTTTATTATTAATTATGAGCAATGTTGTGCTGTACTGCGCCATGCCCGCCAATGAATTAATTGTCAATTCAGATAACTTCCATCTTTTTAGAATCCAAACCTGATGGTTAAAAAAAAAAATTGTTTCTTTTTTAACTTTTTGGTTGAGGAAAAAAAAAAAAAATCCAACAAACATGATCATTATTTTTTAAAATTACTTTTTTTGATTTTAAAAATTTGACAACCAATAATTGATTTTTTACGTTTTAAAAATTTTAAATAAAAACAAAAAAAATTAGGAGTATTTTTATTTTTAATTTTCAAAACTCAAAAAAAAAAAAAAAAGAGAGAGAGAAATAAATATAAAAAAGAAAACATAAATGGTATCAAACAATTCCTAAATGATCCAAAGCATTCTTTCAATTCACAATGTCATTGCTTTATTGGGAAAAAAAATGCAACAAAACAGGCCACATGGAACCTGAGGAAAGCAATCAAGAAAAAGAGACATCCTAATCCTAAAGTTAGAAATAGTACAAAACCATTAGCCAAAACCACTTTACATCTTCCTTGCTACTCAAAATTTTGCAGAAGCAACATTCTGTATAATATAATATATGTAGCATAACAAGGTAGATCAGGAAAGCAAAACCTTCGGAAAAGCACTTTAAGCATTGCTAACGCTAGAATAATCATATCATTTGACATTGCAGGCATATATGATGCATTTCTTGTCATTATCAAATAGCTTTTTTTATTTATTATTCTTGGGATGAAAAGTACAGAACATGAATTCGAAACTTCACTCCTTAGCTACGATTTGTGGAATGTCAATTGTATTCTAGATAGCATTACTCGTTCATTAATGAGATGAGATATAATTAACTACTTTACCTGCTAAAGACCGGCACTATAGGTCAACTTAACGTGATCTCTCCACTATGTATGTAAATTTTAAAGATAAAAAGGGAGAAAACACAAGAAGAGAGGAAAACAAACGGTATAAATAAATGCCACATGCACCATAGACAAGTTAAGGAAACCTTACAAACAAAGTAGTGCTACAAAACATTAAAAAAAACCATAGACTTACAGCTCCGATGGCAATTCCTGAATACTTTCACATACTCATGGCACTTGTTTGCGTACTCCTTTTCTGCCATTGGTGTTGGAACAGAATATCCCGAGTTACTAACTGGCCTGTGGTGGGAATGCTACCGGGACTTCTTTTCAAGGCACCAAATATCCATGAATATGCAACCCAGCTTCTAAAACAAAATGGAGGCACCTTTGAGTTTAAAGGTCCATGGTTTGCTAACATGAACATTTTGCTCACTTGTGATCCTCTTAATGTTCGCCACATTTCGACCAAAAACTTTGTCAACTACCCAAAGGGCCCTCAGTACAAGAAGATTTTTGAGCCTTTTAGAGATGGAGTTCTTAATTCAGATTTCGAAACATGGAAGTCGTTTCGTAAGATGATTCAGTCCATGATTAAAGACAACAAGTTCCAGGTTTTTCTCGAGAGATCTTTGCGGGAAAAGATAGTCAAAGGTCTAATCCCAGTACTTGAGCATGTGTCGAGACAAGAAATAGAATTGGACATGCAAGATGTATTCCAGCGTTTCACCTTTGATAATATCTGCCAGCTGGTTTTAGGCTTTGATCCATAGAGCCTCTCTGTTGATTTGCCAGAAATTGCTTACAAAACAGCATTTGATGATGTAGAGGAGGCTGTGTTTTACCGACATATTGTCCCTCAAAGCATTTGGAAATTGCAGAAATGGCTTAACGTAGGAGAAGAAAAGAAGCTAAGCCTTGCCATGGACATCATAGACAATTTTTTGGAGCAGTGTATCTCATCAAAGAAAGAAGAAATTCGCAAAACGCAAAGCCCAAACGGTGCAAGTCGAGGAGAATCAAGATCACTATGACTTGGTCAGAGCTTGCATACAAGAAGAAGGAGAAGCAGTGGAACAGAGGAATGCCTCCAAAAACACTAACAAATATCTACCAGACATTGGACTTAACTTCATTGCAGCCGGGAAAGACACCGTAAATGCAGCTCTAACTTGGTTTATCTGGCTGGTTGCTACACACCCTGCAGTAGAAGAAAAAATTGTATAAGAAATCAGAGCCAATATGAAAGCGAAAGGAGATCATACAATTAATGGGATGTTTTTCAGTCTGGAAGAGCTAAGTAATCTTGTTTTCTCCATGGAGCCATCTGCGAGACTCTTCGGCTGTACCCGGCTGTACCTTTTAACTATAGAGTATCTGTTGAAGCTGACACCCTTCCTAGTGGCCATCAGGTGAAAGAAAACACCAGGGTGATGTTCTCATTATACTCAATGGGAAGCATGGAACAGATATGAGGTAATGATTGCTTGACATTCAAGCCAGAGAGATGGATTTCGGAGCGAGGAGGGATCATTCATGTTCCATCTTACAAGTTCATTGCGTTTAATACAGGACCCAGGAGCTGTTTAGGTAAAGAAATAACCTTCATTCAAATGAAGACAATTGCAACAGCTATACTCTTGAATTATCATCTTCAGGTGGTTGAAAGTCATCCCATTTCACCAGGTCTTTCTGTCATGATGCATATGAAGCATGGTATGAAGGTTAGGGTCACCAAGAGAAGAGTTTAATGAAGACAACTCGTAGGGTCTAGTAGTATTATGAATTTGCATAAAGAATGTTTGTCACCACTAAAAATAAAAGGTAATAAAACAGCTCTAATAACGAGAAACCTTACTAGCTAATTAGTAGCAGTTATATTTAAAACTGGTCTCATGTTTAATGACCCCATTTATGTATCCAGTTTTTAATACAAGCAGAAAAATTTAGTTTGCCAGGCTTGGGAATGAAGGAGTTGGTTGTTTTGTACTTTTGTTCATGGACTGGTGGTTATTTTACAATAGGCAGAGGAATCTTATAAGCAAGCGAGTGCCAGCACTGCCTGAAATATTGGCATGAATAGTGATAAAAATATAGACAGAAAGGTGGAGAAGCTCGAGAAGAGTTTGATGGGAGGAGAGAGAAGGTAGAGATGAAACAGATATGAAGCAAGAGATGCTTGAGTAGACCAATTTTATTGCCGTTCAGCTTGTATGTTGGTCTTATTACATATATAGTATTAATATTAGATGTCGGTTGGTTACTAAAAATAAAAGGACTGAAATGAGCATATAAAAATTAGAATGAAAATTAAGGAATTGGAATGATATTTTGATGCAGACAACAAAGGAAGCAAAACCTAAATAATTGATAAGGGTATTTTAGTAATTTTAGATCTTGTTTGGTTATTAGAAATGCAAGGTAGAATGAAAATTAAAGAATCTAAATGACATTTTGATGCGGACGATAAAGGAAGCAAAACTTGAATAATTGATAAGGGTATTTTAGTAATTTTAGATCTATTAGAAAATATGAAATTATGGCATTTTTGTTTGAGTATTTTGGCGATCGTAAAGCTATTAAGTTTTCCTATTGTAAAATAGAAATAGTTATACGTTCTTTTATTCTAATTAGGAATAGTTATGTTGCAGGTTTAGGAATCCTTCTCTTAATTGGATTTGTACTTCCACAACTTTGTAAATTCAGCATATAGTCTTTCAATATCCAATATGCAATAATATCAAATAATTTTCAGCAATTTGCTTTTAATTATGTGACATAATCACCCTTAGGTGTGACTCCTACGAACCACCCTAGGTGTGAACCTTAGGTTTTTCTATCCTCTAGGTATGATTCCTAAAATTCTACCCATATATTTCCTCATAGTCCAAGTAGAAACCTAGTTACTTCAATACAACCCTAAATAGTCTCTAAAAATCATATCTAGAACAACCCTTATGCTATCTTGCATCGGTTGGTATCGAGCCTTAAGTTCTTAGAAGTTTTTCTTTTTGCGTTTTTCAATAATGATGACTCGTTAATGAAGTTAATACGAAAATTGAAACCTTTCTATTAGAAGTTAAAACAAGAAAGAGATATACGAGAGGAAAGGTTGGATAATATTGAAGGAAAATTTGATTCTAAACTTGCAACAATAGAGGACAAATTTGATTCCGGATTTGTAGCAATAGAGACGTCAATTAAAGGACATTCAAAAATTATTCTAGGCAAGCAACTTGCTATTACAATAGTTGATAATTCTTTTCCACAAACTCAAGGTGTTGTGGTTGCCTAAAGTAACTAACCATGGTGTCTGGAGGTAAAGAGAATGAGGAAATAAGTGGTGGTAGTAATAGTTGTGTGTATATATATATATATCTCTCATTAATGTTATGTTCAAAAGATCTAAATTCGGCTTTAGTACTACTCCATGTTACAACACTTTACTCTATCAAATGACTAAATTTTCACCAATTAAAGTGCAATAACCCGATGTTGATCGCCGATCAGCAATGCTTCCTACCCAATCAGCATCAATGTAAATTTCTATTTAAACATTATCACTTTTTCTAAACATCAACCCTTTTTAATGTGTCCCTTTACGATACCATAGTATTCCGTATGCAACATCAAAGTGTTCTTTTTCGAAACATGCATAAATTGACTTATCATGCTTAAAGCAAATGATGAGTGTGATAAGTAAATAAACTTACCAACTAGACACTTAAATTTTTTTCCTTTCAATCACATTTTCAACAATAGCTAGATTTAGCTTCAAATTAGCTTTAATTAGAGCCTCGATTGCTTTATATCCCGTAAGGCTAGTTTCATTAAGTAAATCAAGAATATATTTTCTTTGATTTACAAATATATCTTCTATTAATCTTGCAAACTCGATACCTAGAAAGTGTTTTAACATTCCTAGGTTTTGATTTCAAATTCTTCAACTAATCTCTTCTTTAGCATTGATAATTCATCAAAATCATCATCTATCAAAATCATATCATCCACATGTACAATTAAAATTGCAATATGCTCTTATCAAAATGTTTATAAAACATAGTATGATCAACTTGATTTGGCAATATCCATAGTCTTTTACTACATTCCAAAACATTCAAACCAAACTCTATAAAGATTGTTTAAGACCATATAAAGACTTTTTAATTTTGCACACTTTATTTTGTCCAATAGTACTTTCAAAACTTAGTGGAGGGTACATGAATACTTTTTCTTCTAAGTCACCATTCAAAAAAGCATTCTTTACATCTTGTTGTTGTAAAGGCTAGTTAAAATTGCTTACAAGAGACAATAACACACAAATGGAGTTAATTTTTACTATTGGAGTAAAAGTTTCTTAGTAATCAATACCACGAGTTTGAGTAAACTCCTTACCAATAAGTCTTGCTTTATATCTTTTTACACTTCCATCCACCTTGTATTTTATGGTAAACACCCATTTATACCCCATTGTTTTCTAATCTTTTAGTAATTCCATAATCTCCCAAGTCTCATTCTTTTTTAGTGCATCAATCTCCTCAATAACTATTAATTTTCACTTTGAATCATTAAGTGCGTCCCGAATGTTTCTCGAATAAACAAGTTAGAAATTTTTTATATAAATATCTTATGTTTGTAAGAGAACCTATCATATGACAAATACTTTGCAATGGGATGATTAGTACAAAAATGAGTTCCTTTCCTAATGGCTAGAGGCATATTCGGATCATTATATTCTGTTTCAATAAAATTATTAGGAATGGAAGGAGAATCAATAGAAGGAGATGAAAGCCGAGGAAAATCAACATTACTTGAACTTGAATTCGAAGCATTAGATTGGCTTGGTGGTGCTTTAGGTATAGATGATTCTCTACCCTCTTTATGACTTTTCTTCCTTGTATAAACAATAACCTCGAGCTTATATTCCTTAGAATTATTTGGTAGTATTTCTCCCCTATCAAAGATTCTTCTATACTTGGCATAATAAGATTAGAAGGTACGGGTTTGGGTAAAATATGTTGAATATCCCAATTATTTTCTTTATCTAGTTTCTCCCTATGAAGAAAATCATTTTAAAAATAGGGGTAATTTTCAAGAAACACAACATCCATAGTAACAATAATTTTATGAGTTAATGGATGAAAACATTTATATCCTTTCTTATTTGTTGCATAACAAACAAAATCATATTTTTTAGCTTGAGGATTAAGTTTTGACCGATCCTTCTAAGGAATAAAAACACAAGTCGTGTAATTAAAAACTTTAAGAGGTAAGTGTGAAAAAATTTGAGTATCAAAAAAACAATGTTTGAAACATTCTAAGGATGTAATATAATTCAAAATACGAGTAGGCTTCCTATTAATTAAATATAATCTAGTCAAAATAACTTCATCATAGAGATATTTAAGAATATGCATAGAAATCATTAGTGTACTAAGCAACTTCTAATAAATGTTTATTTTTTCTATCAGCAATGTCATTTTGCTATGGTGTATCAACACAAGTAGCTTGATGTTGAATACTCTTTTCTCTAAATAAGCTACCAAGAGTATTATTAAAATATTTAGTGTCATTATCGGTATGCAAAATTTCAATTTTTGTATGAAATTATGTTTCAACCATTGCATAAAAACTTTTGAATAAGGTCTAAACTTTAGATTTATCATTTATTAAATATACCCAACATAATCAAGTATGATCATGAATAAAATTCATAAATTATCTTTTTACAAAACAAGTTTGAATTCTTGAAGGACCCCAAACATCACTATGAATTAGGTAAAAACGTTAAAAAGGCTAATAAGGTTTTAAATAATAAGTATTTTTGTGACCTTTTAAAAAAAATATAATATTCACGATGAAAATTGGAACTATCTATTCCAAGAAATAAAGTAAGAAAAAATTTCTTAATATATGAAAAACTAGGATATCATAATCTATAATGACAAAGCATTATTTTATCCTTAATAAAGGCATAACTAACAGATCTGAACCCTTAAGGTATTTTATTCTAGGAATCTTCATCTTCAAAGTAGTAGAGATAATCTATCATCCTACCACTACTAATTTTTCTCCTCGGATTCCGGTCCGGGAAAACATAATAGGAATAAAAAAATATAATACGTCAATTAGAATCTTTGGATATTTTGCTAATAAATAGAAGATTATATGCAAGTTTAGGTACATGAAGAATAGATTTAAGAGATAAATTTTTTGATAATTTGACCAAACCTTTGCTAGTTATAAAAGAATAAGATCCATCTACTATATGATTTTTTTCTTGTCCAAAACAAGGATTATATGTATGAAATAAATTGAAAAACTAGTCATATGGTAAGATGCTTATGAATCTATTATCCAAGGAGTAGATTGCGAAAGAGAATAACAAACGAAGGCATTTAAATCACTACCTGTTTGTACAAGAGAAGCATTAGGAGTACTCGATAATACGAGTGTTAGATTTTACCATCTTGAGAATATGATCCATTTGTCGAAGACTAAAAGGATAACTTCGACTTCATATGTAGTGGGAACATTCATTCAGCTAGTTTGTTGGTTAAACTTCCCCTCATGGTTGCCTTTCCAATTGGATAGTTTACCATAAAGTTTCTAGCATGTTTCATAGGTGTGTCTTATCTTATTACAATGATCACACCATACACGAGTCTTCTCATAATTGCTAGCATAAACTTCACCTACAACCAAACTAGAATTCTCAAGAATGCTACTTAAAGTTTTCTTGCCAAGCATG